TGATATGTTAGAAAAGGTTGAATATCTTTATTTTAGATCATTCGACCGAGGCAAATTTAGTCGGATAATTTTTATTTCTCGCGCTTAGTTAATATAGCGTATCGCGTGACCGTGACAAAGTGGCTGTTTTGGACGTCAGGTAGGCTCAGAAAAAGGGCGCTGAAAATTCGTTGTTTCAGTAGCCCAAAAATGTTATTACGTTTTCTCTAAGAAGAAACATCATTCTTTCAAGGGAATATAGTTTTATAACCTCAGGGCATGTAGCAATGCCCTTTTTCAATCTTTCGATTTAGCGTTCAATTTGACATGCCGAAACGGAACAGAAATACAAATATATTTAAAAATTCTGAAAATATTGAGAATTTAATTAAAATCAATGAAACTAAGCAAAATTACTAAGAAGTTATTCTTCTATACAATTCGGGGATTAGTGGCGAAATATATTCTTTCCTCAATTTTTTATGGATTTTCTAATCGATACCGGTCTGAGGCAGGCGTAAAGCGGGTGTGAAGCTGTCGTATAGAAAACGCCGTCTTTCGCGAAAACCAAAAATCCTGTGAACATTTCTATATTTTTTCCATTTCTAACTCACCAAAACCTATCTTTGGAAATATTTTGGGAATTTTCGATTTTTTCATTTTGCACACCTCTGGTCGACATTTACTGATCCCCGCTCTTAAGTCCCAATATTTATCGGCAAACTGCTCGCGCAATGCTAATCGTTTAACATACAGCAACTCGTCTAACATGAAGCAACTCGTTTTTTATTTGAAGCTAACGACTTATTTGTTATTTGAAGCAACTCGTCTAACATATGACAACTTATTTCTTTATATCTGCAGCAGCTCGTTTCTTCAGTTGCAGTAACTCATCTTGCCTCCAGAAACTCATCTCACATGTAGCAACACGATTCTTATTTGCAGCAACTCGTCTTAAATGCAGCAACCTGTCTTACATGCAGCGACTCGTTTATTTTTCATCTGATGAGCTTGCAGAATGAGCCCAAGCTTCGTTTCACATTTCCTTTCTTTTTCTAATTCATATTTAGCTAATAAATTTGGTTTAGCTAATAAGAACGAAATCAAACCACGTCAATTTAAAGTAAGAAACGGAGTTATGATATCTGAGATTGGCGGGTTCGCTGTGATAAATATCTGAGCTTGCCCAAATTGGTATAATGACTCTTTCCATTGTACATTGTACTTACTATCGTCATCGTGTATGGTGACAGTGTAACTTGTCGTATCATTGAAGGTGACTCGAGAATCGGAAGGGTTCATGGAAACGTTGAATGTTTTGTACTCTTGTTCGCCCCAAGTGTCGTTAGTCACAGGAATGACGAGTTCTTTCACCGTGTCGTAAGCTGTAAACACTATACTATCACAATGTGCTTGTACTGATGGATAATCATGCGGCGGAGAACCTGAATCGGAACTTCTGCATAGTCTGTATGGAAGAGACAAAATCTTGCTAAAAATGCACGCAAAGAACACTTTGATAAATCTTTGTAGACTAAAATATTGTATAAAACTCCTGGAAAACATGAGAAAATTTACACTCATAGGAAAAAATAGGGGGGAAATCAGTAGGAATGGGTAGAAATGTTTTTAATGCAGTCAGCCATTGCACAATCCTTACCGCACAGTGTGGGTGTCTTCAAGCACACCAACACGACAAAGTCGTACTTTGTAGGAACCTACGTTTTCCTCTA